GCGCAAAATGACAATTTTTGTTGATATACACATCTATCGTCTGCTTGTCGAACCAGTTAACACATACATTACACAAATAATTATTTACAGTTTAGAGTAACATATTTTTATATGATGATAATGGATACACTGCGAGTTATTTGTTTTACATGGTTGTGATTCTATGCAGACTTGACACTTTTTGGTAAGATTGAATTAACATTTTATTCAGAATATAGCATTAGAATAGATAGGTCTATATAGTTATAGATATTTAATTATAGATCTACTAATACATTAAATATTTAACCTTACACACAAAAGAAAAGTATGCAGAATTAGAATGTCGTGTGTGCAAAAGCAAACAGTCGGCCTAGACTATAAAATAAAATTATGCCGCCTGCCATAAAATAGACAAAGTGAAAAGCGTATGGCTTAAATTTTAATACTTATTGTGTACAATTAGATTAAAGTCAAGTCAGCGAATGTATTTTATTCTACATTTCTTTCTCTGGGTGGTTTGGTACCGAGAAGTGGATTTTGTTTTCGTTTGATACATTATTAAGTACAATATTGCATTTTGTTTGTAGTATATTTCATACATCAATGTCATAATGTTGAATACGGTGTCACATTCATAAAAATATGTTTACTTTACATTAAAGCAAATTGAACATAATATTAATTACATATTTGCATTTGGAATTTTAATATTTGAGAAGGGAGGACAGGGGATGGGGGAGAATAAAGCTAGGCTTATCCTGTTCACCAGAAGGGGTACTAATCCATGTATAAGATAATCTTAATATTCTCCATAAGGGCCTATTCATCCTTGCCAGTGAAGGAAAAAAAAAACATCGTTCATAAGGAAGGCCTGATTTAAAACAGGTTCATAGTTTATTTTCAAAAATCAAACCTAAGGTTGTTGTTTTTCTTTCATAAATTCACAAACTATTTCTTATCTAACGAAATAAGGAACGGGGAAACAAAGAGAGTAGTTTTGTTTTTGTTTTTTCGAAAACCCGAGCAACGCCTGGTAACGCTTCTAATCAACCGTAAAATGTTCCCCACATTTTCTCTTTTCGAAGACAACTATAATATATTTCCTGAGTCCAGTATTATTTTTTAAAAGCCAGATTAAATACAAATGACGTGAGTAACAAAATTGTTAACTGATAATCATCAGAGTTATTAGTTGAATAGTAACTTGTTCTACAATGTGCTGTTTTTCATATTTGTAACGTTACAAAGAATACTCAGTTAAAACAGGTTATTAAGTACATTGAAAGCACTAAAAAGGTTGCGGTGAAGTTCCATTCATTCCGACAATACGTATTTGGATTAGGCGTTCCTACACTTGAGAAATGAGCTGTACATATGTCAGACCTGGCGATACGAGTTCCAATACATCAGTGTCAAACTGGGCTAATCCAAACTATAAATGTGGAATGGTGGGATGCTCGATCTTCTTTCGGGAGTTACTTCTCAAAACTGGGATGACATTGATAATGGCTTGTCTATCTTTCATCTTTTACCTAAGCCGAGATTCTGAACGGTACAGCTATCAGAAGAACTAAAGTAATGTAGACTTTTATAGAGAAAGGCTATGTTTCCTTCTAGAAGTCTGATTACAAAGGTCTTATTTTTGAACACGTATGCTGTAATGGATCAACGAAATTGAAGTTTAACCACGATGGGAAATTCACTGATAATAAAATATGAGAAAAAACAAACCTAGTGAATTTAATGTTGTTTATATATTCATCAACAAATAAACTTTATTATTCTTATAACATTACGATCTAAAATGTTCAGCGTAAAAAACAACAACAATAAAAAATTTCATTTCACAGTATAAAGACGTAGTTTATATAAATCTATAATGAAAACATCTCAAACTTTCAACCACAATTCAATCCGCGTAGTAAGACTGAATTGGTAAATTGAAAAGTATGCTACCTCCAAGACTTAAAAATACAGGGAAATTTAGGGGTATAGTCCTAGATTATAAGACATTTACGTCATCCCCCTACACCCCCACAAGTGTTTCTTTACATCATTTACTTGGTATTTTTTCAGTAATAATTTAAAATGGGTACTACTATAGTGTGCGGTCTACACAAATACTATCATCATCATCACCGTTTTAACTTTCGTTTATTTGCAATTGGCGCCATTTATTATAAATAATGCTTTTAAACTAATAAAGTACAAAATACCGTTACATAATGTTTTGGGGACAAATTTAATAGGAATGAAATAAATTCCAACAATCCAAACTAGCACAATTATAACCTAAACTTAAGGTACTCGTTTGGAACACACAGCTTATTAAATTATTATTATTTACTGAGGAAAAACGTGGATAGATATAAATAATTTACTTAGGAAAACTTGTGTTTTAGTGAATCATTAAAACGGTGATGATGACAGCATGTGTGTGTTAGAAAGCACAATATAGCAGCGCCTTAAGATATTTCATAACCCAGACTATATCATCAACTTTGTTATTTCTAAAGCCACATCTCTAGCTAGACAGCTGTATTAGTTATCCACTGCTGTTGCTTGTTTGACTCATTAATAATGGCATGGAAATATATACATATATTTGAAAACAGGTTCATCATCTAAAACCGAAACGCTGTAGAACAAAGATCACTTAAACAAATGTATAAAAATACCTTCAAATAATTAATTTTGCGATAATTTGCAACCAAGTGTTATGTTGAATCACTACAATTTCTGCATATGGGTTTAATGACCTATCTCAAAAGACACGTGGCTGTTAGAAGTAGAACTCTTTGGTAATATTCATAATTTAACTAGTGGAATGTAGCCCATAATAGTCCTTCACCTTTCAAATGCTATTTTTGAAATTTTATTGACAGTATCAATCTACAAAAATATCTGTGTGTATCTGTTCCTTATACGTTTCCACATTTCTTGATCAATTAGCACCGAAATTGACACAGTGATACAGAATGACAAGAGGAGGGTCATGTGTGGGGGTCAATCCCCCCATCTAATTTCATACTGATAAATTCTTGAAAACAATATGTCTTTCTTTTGAGTATTGGTATTTTTATTGCACTTTTAATGTTTAGTATGTTAAGTTTGTTTATTTGAAATTAAGCACAAAGCTACACAATGGGCTATCTGTGCTCTGCCCACCACGGGTATCGAAACCTGGTTTCTAGCGTTGTAAGTCCGCAGACATACCACTGTGCCACTGGGGGGCGGTATGTTAAGAAAAAAATAGAAGTACTATTTCCTATCCTTTGTTACAAACGAGTTTTTATTCCCCTCCTTCCAACGGATGTGTAAACCAGCTAGTGGCTAATAAAATAAAACGTATTATAGACATAAATTTTCGAAGTTGTAACTGTTCTGTAAATGACACTATTATATGAAAATATAATAGCGGAAATAATCTTCTTCCACCTAATTGGTGGAAAATGTATCAGTACAAATATGTTGTGAAGAGTGAATAAAATAATGAAAGAAATTGAATTTTCAGAGAATATTATAACATTAAAAATATTGCAAAAAGTCAAGCGTTGTGTCAAAACGACTTTAATCGAAAATTAGCCAATCCTGCAGCAAGAACATCGACAACTCTGCCCTGAGTTTTCATTGTTTTAATATCTTGCCTATCTTGTTGAAGATCCCAAAGCTGATGTTACATAAGATACAAGGAAAAAGAAAAATTAATGGTTTTTAAAAAATTAAATCGAATGTTGAACTGAACGTTGGAAGGCATTACTAAAAATATTGTAGTGAATGTGCGTTACAGTAAGGTAGATGCAGTACGTAAATATCTCAGAGTACAATATCCCACTATCGTAGAGGGCATTCCCTTAGAAATTAATATATTAATTACACTTTATGGCACAGCTTTGCCTTGCAAAGTTATGGTTCAATGATTTGGAGTTGTCGCTGTGAAGGTATATGTTGTACCCCTAACATCTACACTTCCCGAGATTCGATCACAGGTTGAACGTGATCTAGTGGTTAGTGCGCCAGGATGCAAACCGAAAACTCCAAGGTTAAAGCTGTGATATACAACTACCGAACACGCTGCGCACTTTCAGCTGTAGAGACGTTATAAATGCCATGTTAATATCGTTCTTTGGTTAAGAGTAGCCGCATAGGCAGTTTTAAGTTAGGCTTGTACCTCAGGGATCCCTGACAGGCCGCTGAGGTTCAAAAGAATTTCAAACGACCGATGTTAAGGAAAGCCAGCTTAAAAAAACAACAACAAAACAAAACAGAAGGTAAAACCTCAAAATTCAGTTGTCTGTGTTATTTATACATCAAATAGTGTATTAAAATAACATGCATAGTTAACTCGACCGTGTAGGAAGCATGGGATTACTATACCTGAATATTAGTAAACCAAAGATATTATTGTGTTAGGGCACCGAAAAGAAATATAAAGAGAGTAAAAATGTGAAAAATTTGGTTTAGGTTTCCATTACAAAAGTATAGAGTAGCCTATGATCTTATCGGAAGTGTACTGCAATTCTATATTAGTTACCGATAAGGGATGGGTGTTAAAAATTACCTAACGATTACCAATAGCAAGCGGGTTTATTCTTTATCTCAGTTGATAAGGATATTTGTTCCTCATTACCTCGTTGGACAGGATAGTGAATCTTGATATTTAGTGCTTACAACTTAAACGGTACCTTATGTGAAACACAACTTGAGCGCAAATTTCATTTTTGTTTACTTTATGACATAAAAATTCAAAGAACGAAAATAATATAATTCTTCTTCAAGGAATATTTCAAGTAATCAATAGTGTAAACTTATTTCAAACATAACAGGCATGATTATGATTCTTCAAGAATAACAATTGGTCCCCCAGTGGCACAGCGGTATGTCTGCGGACTTACAACGCTAGAATCCGGGTTTAGATACCCGTGGTGGGCAGAACACAGATGGCCCATTGTGTAGCTTTGTGCATAATTACAAACAAATTACAGAATAACAACTGTCTATGTTAATGTTATACTCACGCCAGGACAACTGTGAACATCCAGCGATACTTGTCCAATTGTACCAAACGAATTCGGTGACACTTCACAACAACAGACAGGAACTGTATAAATGCCACTGTCTTTTGAGGAATTGGGTCTTGTGTTTGACAAAAGTTTTCTACAACGTTCACAAGTAATTTTAGACATTGTCAACCATTTCATCGCTTGATCACGATAATCAATATTCGACTGTCAGGCATAAAAAAAGTCATTTCAATCACCATCTTTTCATAATGAATCAGATCATAATTTTCTCCATTTCATCATCACCTTATGACTACTCGCGTAAATTGCAAGAGAAAACTAGTATATAATTCATACACTAGGTGGCACACAGGACTAGACATGCAGACACTCGATAGAACATGTGGACTTACTAAATTTGACAAAAATGATCATAAAAAGATTAAGATGTAGTGTTTTACTCAATTCCTGAGTTGTACATTGGTTATCAGAGATTGATCTTCTAAGTTGGGTTCAGTAGTCTCGTATCAAGGAGAGATCTACGATAACTAAAACAATAATCAAATAGATTCTGGTCATCAAACTTAGAAAATTCAGGAACGTCTATCGTGATTAGCGTACATATGGCACAACGAAAGCCAATAACAACGGCATCACATCCATGACATAATGTTTGGGATGTTGCGCTTTCTCTCTCTTACACGTCAACTTTTTCTGAAATTCTTCCAATATCGCTTTTTTTGTCTTCCATACAGCGTGTGCTAAAGGTGGCTTATATAAACAAACATCACTTAGGGACTCCTGCACGTACTCCACCCTCACATTCTCCGAGTTTCGTGTCTCACAGGACTAAATGCGCACGTACGTTTGAAGTCATTACCAAAACTCCGAGACTTCTAACCAATAAAAAACAAGCAAGTCGTCAACCGTTTTCTAGCCAATAAAAGGAGTAGACGGCCTAACGTCACAAGCGATATTGTCCGTGAGCGCATACCATACCTGCGGGTGGTAACTGGGATAACGTTCTTCTCGACTAGAGAATCAAAAGGTCGGAAATGCTGTTTTATTTTTCTGTGTTGTGGAAAGAGGAAAGGGCGGAGGTCTGAAAGCAGAGTCAATCTTGATAAAGAAAAAAAAGAAGAAAGTGTCAAAACTCCCCAACAGTTACGAAGCGTAAGCCTATTGTCGCTTTGAAATACAAAGTTGGTATATTCATTTTAACGATCAAGTCAATATTTTCAGTCACAGTGACAACAAAATGTTTTATATCTACTTATACTTGGAATTGAGGACGCTAACGTTATAAGTACAGTGTTTAATCTTAACAATACAATAAATTCTGTATAAATCACACACCGGGACCGTAGAACACTTCTTGAACTAGATTAATCTGAAGAGTGAACACTATATATAAATATATGCACACGTACACATACACATTCACACACATTATATATACGATTATAATTATGCTTGAAAAATATGCGTATTAATACATATATATATATACATATATATTAAAGGTTGCCTTTAATTTCGAATTCTTGTCCAAATGCTTTGTCGGATATTAATAAAATTAGAAGTCTAGAAAATAAAAGTTGTGGATTACAAAGTTACAAAAAAAATAGGTTTTTAGAACTTATTAACAATTTTAAAGTTGCGAAACGTGCTGTCTTTTGAATATAAATAAAAATTTCAACTGGAGTTTGCAATCTTTTATTATGTAGAAGGAATGAAACCAGTAAATAAATATATAAAGAGTAAGACAGAAAAATAGATAAATAGAAAGCCAGAAAAGAAACAGATTGATAGAAAGAGAGAAACGGGTTAAGGAAAAGAATGAAAAACATAAATAGTGAGACAGAGAATTACACTCATAAAGGAAAAGATTACATAAATACATATATCAATCAATGTATATCCACATATATATATACATAGAGTTAGAGATAAAGATAGATAGATCGAGATATAGAACGCAATAAACCAAAACAAAACTAGACAGCTGGAGAGAGAGAAAGAAAGAAAAACAAACAAACAGATACAGCAAGAGACAGACCAATATAATCACGCAATCAAAGAGAAGGTCAAAAGAGATATAAAGCTATAGATAAAGCCAGAAACGTGAGAGTAACTTATTTTTACAAAACATATCACACGCATAGTTTCTGGATATCTAACTGCTGTGTAGTTTGAAGTTTGACCTCAAATAATCTATATGCAAACGAGTACATGGTTCTTTATCTGCTACCTTTTGAAATATCTTTGTGAACACAGTCGCATGTTGTGATGGAACACATACACGCATATGGAGCCAAGAATAATAATAATAGAGTGTATAGGCTCTGCTATGGTCCGGTAGTTTTAATGGGGATTATTTCCTAGCTATCTATGTAATATCTTAACCCTCTCCCTGTTTGAGGTCATTTCTTGTATTGTTGATATCCCGTAAAGCTTCTCTTTTTTAATAAACATTATTCGTTTGTTCAAAAAGTAGAGTAATTTGTAGTGAAAATAAATAGAATTAATAAAAATAATTGTGATATTTATCCTAGGATTACATTTTCTCTTGAGTGAAAGTAACGTAACCTATTATCATTCGCATGCGCTTTGAGAGTCACATGTTAACAGCTCTCTTATAATCTCATACTTTGAACAAAAACAGACAATTTTTACTGCCATATTCACTCAAAACTTGAAAATATCAAGAATGACAATAATATCGTGTGTTTTCGTTTGTTTATAGTTAAACACAAAGGTACACAACGGGCTTTGCTCACCACGGGTATCAAAATCCGGTTTCTAGCGTTATAAGTCTACAGACGTACAGCTGTGCCACTAGGTGGCCAGCTTATTGGATGATATATTTTAAATGTCATTAATTTGTTGAAAAAGATAGGTAAATAATGTTAACAATAAATAGATAGATTGGTATAACTGGGGAGGTTTCACTGAATGTATACTGTTTTCCTGGCGTAAGTACAACAGAGAAACATCTTTTCTTTGAAATATCCGAATAATGTCTATTTTGTTTTTAAAAAATATATTACTAATTTTCTTTAAAATACGAATTGAAGAAAAAACATACTATAGGCTTTCATTTTGCCATGCACTGTAATGGATCAGGTGACTCTTACCTTTTAAGGCTGAGGACATCACTGAGGTCATGTAGCATCACGTTGAATGTAATGTTGAGTACATACTGTCGGTTAGGATAACTTATCTTCCTTTGTAACGCAGCACGTAAAACAACACCACTAGTGTTCGGTTTCGCTGTACAGGTAGCGTGATGGGTGACATTTCTTCTATTCCAAAGTTGCTGAGTCTGTATGACTTAGTTTTCAACACTGGTCGAATTATTGCAACCAAGCTCACGTTAGAGGTCGTACATTTACAAAGAACATGACCTGATAACATTTTTAGATTATCATGACTAAGCCTGCAAGTCAACATCATAACTCATCACGGCATCCTCTGTTGTACTATTATAGGTTGTTAACTGATGTCCTCATTCATTTGAAAAAGGTAAGTGGAATACGTTTCTAAATTAAACATATTTTGAATATCAAATTTTAAATCTATGAAACTGACAAGATAGAAATTCTTTACTCCTGTTGTTAAAATAATTATAACAATAACGAAATTTAGCTTTTAAAATATATTGTTAGTAAAAAAGCGATTGTTTTACTTGATCTAAAAATAAATAAGTCTTTTTTACAAAAGCTAGAGCTGATTTTCACCCAATATAACTTATGTGTTCATGGTTCATGTGTTCATGCATCATAACATAAAACAAAAGATACACCATTTTTATTATTACTATAAACGTTTATTTGGTGTATATTCTTTAATCTAAAATAAAAATAACAAGGTACTATCATGAAAAAAGTTGAATAACACTTGTAATGCAGTTTAGTAGGTTAGTTAGTAATAAGACCTGTTTTATAACTACACAAAACGTCACCTATCGACTTTTTTGTATATCTATTTCTACTTCTCACCTGTTTCTGGTTGCTATAGAGACATTAAGTGTTAAACTCCGGGATAAAACGTCAGTGGATTTGAACTGGCTATCATGCGCGACCAGTTAAAAGTAACGCTTTCTTAAAAAAAGAAACAACTGTTCAACAGCAGGTTTTTGTATCCAATTGAGTCAAATTCACTAAAGCTTTTAAATCAGATACAATATTTCCTACCAGCATTTCTGTGCTTTAATAAGAAAGTTTCCTCTAATAGTGTATTAGAAAAAGCAAAACGTTTATGTGGAACATTGTTGACGTTGGTGATATGGCGATGACTCCAGTCTTTAGTTAAATGCCTGGGTAATAGAATTCCACACCCATCTTTCAAGCAACACACACATTCCATAGGAGGACCTGTTTTGTTTTTAATCTGAAAACAATACGTCTTCCGGCTCAACAGTTAAGTCATGAAAGTTTTCTATATTTTAACACCAAGCATGAAGTAATATAAACATCATGTCGGAAATGCACCATCTACTGCAGCCACATGCCAAACTGAGTCAGATATATATTCTAAATCTTTTTGCTCTAAGAAGAGTACAAGACAGACCTTTGTGATATTTATTACTCATGTTCTGTTTTCCAAGCAGTATTGGAATAGGGAAGGAAAGAACGTGAGAACAGCAGTTGTTCATACGTGAAATAACACCACCCTTGGTGGTCGAGAAAGATTATCAGGACTTAAGCCTGGATTCATCATCGAGACTGTAAAAAAAAGTCTCCCTGGGAAATGTAAATAACATAATCCATAAAGGTTTTTCAGCGTCTGACAAAAAGTCGCATCAAGGAGAGAGGGATCAATGAAAAGAAAAAAGAGAGACAGATAATCGTAAAAGCACCCTAGAATAACTTGTGTTTTTTTGTCATTTATGAAGATCGAAAATATCGTATGTTTTCCAGGCAGAGTTATACAGAAGTTTTTATTTTATTTTACTGTCGTTATTTCTAGATGAAGTACGATAGAATATGCCGAATTACCTTTTAATTTATCGTTTTGAGACGATTAGAAAACGCATTAAAATTCGTTATGCCAAAAACGAACGACTTCACTGCTACAGTAAACAGTTATAGAACAACAAGGTTAATTGTTCCCTACTTACGAGGCTGAATGAAAGCATTAACAGACTTTTTCTTTCTATAACAATAACAATGTGGCCTGGAAACCTAACGTGTCTGCCTTGAAACTGTGTTCCTGTTGTCGGCTAAAACAAGGTTTTGCGTATTTCTTTACAATGCGGTGAAACTTAGAAGACTAGTAAGGACAATTAGACAAAACTAGTCTTTTTACAATATTACACCAGATATAATTTGTTTCAGAACGTTAAATGGGTTATACATTTTATTTAGTTCCTTGACGTGGCTTGGAGGATATATACATATATATAAGGGCCAGAATATCTATATAAAATAACATTTGATTGATTGGATTTATCTCATATACTGTTAAAGGTTCGGTTGACATCTTCATCCTTTCTTGATCAAACTATGTTCGCTTATTCATACAATATATCTACACGAATTTAACAAAGGTTTTTAATAATACAGGAAAGATACGAATAACTTTCACCTAATACTGTAATATTCATAACCCATGATAAAACTTTGGCCCTGTCCTTATGTCTGTTTGCACGCTTATGAAAATCGTTCTGTTTGAGTAATAACCCATCTCGTAAGATGAATCACTGGTGTGGTATTTCTGTTTGGCAAGTCATGACACCCTGTATTTCCGTGACGCAAAAAATTCTAGTTTACATCCTACGCATGTGTACAGATTTAGAGAGGAGCAATTACAGGTGTAGGAACAAAATTACAGGTCGTTTCAAATACAGTTTATCGTCTCCACCAATGACGTCTGCTAAATGTCATTGTCAGACTAAAACCATATTTATGATCTATTTTTGTTAACAATACTGTTGGCATTGTTAAGCTGTTTCCACACGTGAATACATCCATTAACTTTAAAAAGTCGACTACAAGGCTATAGATTTAACAAACCCTGCACATAATATAGTTCTAGAACTCTGTACATTGTTTAGGCAATCTAAGTAAATCTAAACATGTTTAGTGATGTTGTTCTCACAGAGATACGGGCTAATGCGTCATGTTTTAGATACACCCGTAAACGTACGTATGCTTGCGATACAAGCGAATATTATATGTTTTACACTCTCTTTTTCACACAACGTGCGTGTATTGGCAATACCAGCCAGTGCACCATATTTTAGGTACATTCATTCAACGTGTTTTTGTGAAGACAGGAAACTGCTCTTGATTTTTCACTATAAGGCAGTAAAATAAAAATAAGTAAAATATTTACTTCAACATAACATATAGTCGTGTAACCAAATACTTACTGGAGTGAAGTTTTTGATTAATTGGATCATTTATAGCATTGATTGATTGTAGTTAATCACAAAGCTACACAATGGGCTATCTGTGCTCTGCCCACCAGGGGTATCGAAACCCGGTTTCTAATGGTATAAGTCTGCAGACATACCGC